CGTAAATCGGTGTTCACTTCCCTGGTAAGAGAAAGCACAGATTTTAGCACAATATCATAAATGACACTAATGTTTTCTGAAATCATCACACGTAGAAAAATACAAACGTCTTTTGAAACAATATTAACAATAACCTAGACATTGGTAAGTATCACAATTAAGTTGTCCAGCTAAAATGCGAGAAAAACTGAGGCGGAGTTTGCCTTTACGAAATCGGTAACTAACTTTAATATACTGCTGTGTATTATTAAAAGTCTTTGCAGAGAACTATCACAAATCCAGCTAAATGTTCAAGTTGAAAAAAATTGACTAGATTCCCTCAGAAGAAAATGCTACATAAACACAAATAAAAATGCAGTTAAAATTAACGGGCATTTCAAAATAATCAGCAGTTACAATTTAAAAGAAAAATAAAAGTTAACCACATATGTACTCCACATTACTTTCTTTCTTTCAAATTTATGAAACCTTAGCAGAAAGTTGGTAGAAATTTGTAAAGAAAATCAAGAGGATAGATTTTTGCTGTATTTAAGTTTTTCTTTGTTTTCAGTTTTCTAATACTTGAGGTTCTGTCTCTTCCTTTCTTCTCTCTTGCTTTTTTTCTCAAAAAGATGGGAAAATGATAATACAAACGACATAAGCTGCAGTAACTGAAAATAATACCACAGTTTTAAATCCCTACTAGTATGAGTTATTAAATGAAAAATGGAAAGCTGGGCAGAAAGGTGAAGTACTGTATCTTATTACTGATTCTCTCATCTAATCTATTTTTCAGATTATTGAAACATTTTAATGTATAAAAAATAAGGATATCTGCAAGTAAAGATGACAAATCACACAGAGCATCTTGTGCATGAAGTGTCTTACATATGTAAATGTATGCAAGCCCAAGACTCAAATTTCACAGGCAGTCTCTGCAGACCGAGCGATGAACTGTGCAATTTGCAAGGTGAAATCTATTTTATTTCCCTTCGATATCCAAAGGGTACTTTAGCAAGCTGCTTCTCAGCATTCCGGGAGACAGGCACTGCTAAGTTTCAGGAGTGTTTTATATGGGAGAAGCATTGCAGTCCTACACGGTACATGTCTCTCAGCACTTTTTTTGTCCCCTAAGCACGTAAGGCACATCACGAAGCAGAAGAGAGGTCTTCTCTGATCACACAGCTTGGTCACAGCAGAAGGGCAAGGACTAACTTACCAAAGACAAGGAGTTGGGGGGGGTCCCCCTCAAGTCGCACCATATAAAACATTTCCCTTCTCCAGGCTGCAGCAGAGGAGCAAAACCAGGAGGGGCTCTCTGCCACCTCAGTCACAACGCAGCAGCCACCGGCTGCCTTGCTGGCTGCAGCTGGGGGCTCAATGAGGTTTCTTTGGCCACCACCAGCTGCACCCAGACGGCCTAAGAAATCACACTGAGCATCGGCGTGGGCCTGGGGGTCTCACCGTCACAGCCCCTCCTTGGTGCTGCCGTGGGGACAGACGCGTCTAAGGAACAGCAGCACAAGGTGGGAACCAAACAAAAACGTCTCGTGCGGAAGCGAGAGGCTTGACAAATCTGATCACAGCATCTGCTGGAAGAAACTTCAGAATTCATGAAGTCATTCTGGTCCATAATTAACTGAAAATTAATTACAGAATCTTGAAAAGAGCATGAGGCAAAAATGGGCCAGCATACCTTCATAGTGCAGTTGCTCACTCTGAATCTCTTCCAATAATTAACTCTAGCATATGGCACTGGAGTTAAAAAAAACAAACCACAAACCAACAAACAAACTACGGTTCCCAAAAAAAGTTTGGAGTCCCACTTGCCGAAAGGATGTGCCTGTCTGCAGCTCACACACATACTTTCTTTCTAGAAGTGAGGAGGATAAATTAACGTGATATTTGGCAACTTCAGCTTTGCAGAAATTACAGGTTGCAGATGCTTCTTATAAAATCAAAACAAAAACTGAGAAAAGAACATAATTAGGTAAATTATTTGCTGACTTGATGAATAATTTTCTAAAGATTATTAGAGGATATAAGAGCTCGGAAAACGCTCCAATATTTCAACAAACAAAAGGAGGAGCTAAACAATAAAACCGCCAAATTAATTTGGCTGTGCATTTGTGAAAAGATGTATTTTGTATCAGTGAATTACACATATTTTTAAAAAGGTGTTGAAAGCATGGCATGCTGCCAAACATAAAAATATTATTTTTTAGAAAAAAAAATGTTAGCATGCTGGGAAGTAGAAGATATGCCATCAAAACAAACCTGTAACACTTTGACACAATTAAAAAAAGGAAAGAACATTTTAAAATTACTGAGAAAGAATATAACCAAAGAAAACAAAAGAGCACCAAAGAAAAAAAGATCAGTATATTAATTTGAGATTAGGTAAAAATGTGCTGCAGGAAACATTGAAACTCTTTTTCCGATTTCCAGTTTTCCAATATAGGGATTAACAT